ATTGTTTAAGAAAGAAATAATGCAAATTGGCAATAGTTAGCATTTTAGTTACGGTCAGGTACGTCTGGACCCCTCAATCTACACGTACCATTGTTTTCTTTACAGGTTCAACCGGTTCAACTGTTTCAACCAGATACGCGAATGTAGCCTAGAACACCTTCCTATGATATAGCCTTTAGTACACCGTCCTATGGTGTGGGACTAGTACTGTAGTACACCCTCCTATGGTGTGGACTGTAGTACACCCTCCTATGGTGTGGGACTAGTACTGTAGTCCACCCTCCTATGGTGTGGACTGTAGTACAACCTCCTATAGTGTGGACTGTAGTACATCCTCCTATGGTGTGGACTAGTACTGTAGTACACCCTCCTATTGTGTGAACTGTAGTACACCTTCCTATGATATAGACTTTAGTACACTCTCCTATGGTGTGGACTTTGGTACACCTTCCTATGATAAAACCTTTAGTACACTCTCCTATGGTGTGGACTAGTACTGTAGTACACCCTCCTATTGTGTGAACTGTAGTACACCTTCCTATGATATAGCCTTTAGTACACTCTCGTATGATAAAGACTTTAGTACACTCTCCTTTGGTGTGGACTGTAGTACACCTTCCTATGATAGACTTTAGTACACTCTCCTTTGGTGTGGACTGTAGTACACCTTCCTATGATATAGCCTTTAGTACACTCTCCTATGATAAAGACTTTAGTACACTCTCCTATGGTGTGGACTGTAGTACACCTTCCTATGATAGACTTTAGTACACTCTCCTTTGGTGTGGACTGAAGTACACCTTCCTATGATAAAGAATTTAGTACACCCTCCTATGGTGTGGACTGCGGTACACCTTCCTATGATAAAGACTTTAGTACTCCCACCTATGGTGTGGACTGCAGTACACCTTCCTATGATAGACTTTAGTACACCCTCCTATGGTGTAGACTGTAGTAAACCCTCCTATGGTGTGGACTGTAGTGCACCTTCCTATGATATAGCCTTTAGTACACTCTCCTATGGTGTGGACTAGTACTGTAGTACACCCTCCTATTGTATGAACTGTAGTACACCTTCCTATGATATAGACTTTAGTACACCCTCCTATGGTGTGGACTGCAGTACACCTTCCTATGATAGACTTTAGTACACCTCCCTATGATAAAGACTTTAGTACACTCTCCTATGGTGTGGACTGTAGTACACCTTCCTATGATAAAGACTTTAGTACCCCCTCCTATGGTGTGGACTGCAGTACCCCTTCCTATGATAAAGACTTTAGTACACCCTCCTATGGGGTGGACTGCAGTACACCTTCCTTTGATAAAGTCTTTAGTACACCCTCCTATGGTGTGGACTGCAGTACACCTTCCTTTGATAAAGACTTTAGTACACCCTCCTATGGTGTGGACTGTAGTACACCTTCCTATGATAGACTTTAGTATACCTTCCTATGATAAAGACTTTAGTACACTCTCCTATGGTGTGGACTGCAGTATACCTTCCTATGATATAGACTTTAGTACACTATCCTATGGTGTGGACTGCAGTACACCTTCCTATGATATAGACTTTAGTACACTCTCCTATGGTGTGGACTGCAGTACACCTCCTATGGTGTGGACTGTAGTACCTAACTGGCCCATATTGTAGGTATTCAGCTTTCACATAACATCTACACTACACTACCAGCCCCAGACAATTATGTTCACATTCATCTCATACCAATTGCATAAGTTTTTTACTTTTTACAACTCTAGCAGACAAAACAAGCAGAAAAGAACATTTGCAAGCCAGCAATAATTGGATGCTAACTTTCATTGTTTTGATTTCATTTCTTCTTCTTTTATTTCACCTACATACAGGTGCATAAAAACATTTTAGGACTCAATAAATAAATAAAAACATTAATGGATTATTTTCATATAAAATGTATATATTTCAAGCTAACTAGTTTGCCTCTTTAGTTAATATTATCTTGATGAAAAAATTACTGACTCTTTACCTTTATATTTAACCCTTTCACCAGTACTGTAGACCATAATAGACTCATCCAGGTCAACGCATGGTAGAGTCTACTAAAGTTACATAGGGGTGAAAGGGTTAAAATGTAAATATTATTTTTAACCCAGAAGAGTTGCAAAAGAGGTGATCAGGTGCTAGTAAGAAGGATTTGTCATTTGCAAGTGAGTACAAGTTCAAGCAGTTATGATGTCAATTGTCCAGAACATGTTCCACTTGTTTTTTCTCTCTTATTTCTAGTCCTCTACTTTCATTTTGTGAGGGAAGCAGAGTGGATGTATTTGTCTTGAAATGGTATTTGCTGACATTCATATCACTGAACAAATTCTCATGTCATTCATAACAAATGTGCACTGAAGGGCACTTATACCTGTAGGAACATATATAGCCGCTAACTAGAACACTGACAGGTCACCAAAAACTTCATTGTGATACCCATAGATATCATCCATAAACAGCAAAAGGAGTCACAGCAATCATGTTGGCTTTTGAAATAAAAATGTATAATTTCCTTAAGTTCTGCTTAACAGTTTTTAAGAAAAGTGGTCAAAACCTCCACAGCAGAACAAAGTGGAAGAAATCAAAATATTAAGTTTAAATTGTACAAGCAGCCATTACAGAGCCCCCAAACTACTCTAACAGAAGTCAGACTAGATTTCACTGATGAACTTTAATACAAAATTCTACATATCAAATTGGAGAGAAATCATACAATATTTAATAATAATATAATTTCCAACAAATCAGAAGGTTCCATTTAGTTTTCATCGTCATCAAATGTCATGACAAAAACACTCACATATACCAAATATGATTTAAATCAGAAAACATCTAAAAAAACAATCAATCAGGTGTCCATCTTATCCAATATAGTAAAATGGAAGTTGTATCAGTGCTACAGTGCCACAGTGCCATTAATTGCACACTTGCATTGCAAATTTTATTGAAATCGGACAATAATTTCATATAAATTTCTACCAATCAGAAGCTATAGTTAAGGGCAGATACCTGTTCCAAAAACCTAAATGCCGAACTGGAAGTCATTGTAGATTTTGGAGTGCCATATGCATATATACATGTTTTACATCCATACATGCCAAATTTGACTAAAATTTGATGCATCTAATTCTTATTTCCGATTAATCAGAAGCAAGTTTCTGGAGCCAGAGTGTATTGGTCTGCAGATCTCAGCTATGTTCTGGATGTATGGTATATATAGAGAGGGGTCTGAAAGCTTTATAAAGCTGACAGTGCAAGGTTAAAAAGCATTCGACTGAGATTTCTTTTTTAAAATGTAATTTTTTTTCAGGTTTTGAGATCTTTCCCAGTGTCACTGGTGAAGAAGCAGCGAAATTTTAAAATGTACTTGCTTGGTAGCGAGTACGGGTCTCGCTGGGTATCCCCCCCCCCAAAAAAAACAAAACAGCCCTGAAAGAAACAAACACACATGTACAATGTCCATGAAACAGTTGTGTTTTGTTAGACCATCCACAGTGACCTGCATGGTTTGGCTTTTACTAGACAAAATTGTCCAGCCATCTCATAAATATAATCCAACAATATTTGCTGTGAAAACAAGTGGCTGGATTATCAAGACTCTTTTGTAAAATATAGATAAACAAGAGGCCCAGAGAGCCTGTATCGCTCACCTGTTTCTTTTGTTACATGCAACACTTAAGACCATTTGGTAACTAGAACACAAGACATTCTAACATCTCTTAAACGGTTCTGAAGATATTTTTGTTTGAAACTTGAAATTTTAATTTTAAAGCTTTTAACCCATATTGACCTTGGACTCTCGACTTGCACTTAAAGTTGACCTTTGACCTCATTACTGTAATGAGAAAACAATTCACACAGCTGATCTACATAACATACCCAAGTATCATGACTCTAGTCCAAATTAAATGGTTCTTAGGATATTAGGAATTTTTTAACATATTTGATTTCACATCTTGAATCCGATCCTGCGGGCACACAAGTGTTGCGAAAAAAGTGTTGCGAAAAAAGTGCCCGCGGGACGGGATTCAAGATGTGAAATTTATTGACATTTGATTATTTTTACGAGTTTGAACAGAGAAACAGTTATTCTTACGTATACAGACAAAATGTATTTTATTATATGAAATACAGATATTTACACCTTCGTGCCAGTTTTTTCATAAGAAGTTTAAAACGATTGTATTTTTCAGCTGTACCCTTTCAACAATAACCATTAAAATTTAGTGTAGTCTTCATTTAAACTTATAGGTACTTAGGGACCCCAACATTAAATCGATCAGTCACACGAACATATAACGGACCCAGAGTAGAACCACGTCCACGTCCGTAAGGTCTGGCCATGGTAACATGCTCGTTTCAAGAGTGTGGCTGAGAGTTCTACAATATAATCCGGTCTAACTGTGTTCACCTATGGGAAGCCCTACCTACGTACACATATGTGACACGGCGTATAGCTTCCTAAAATCGTAAAATTAAATTCACGATAACTCAATCATTTTTTAACAAATCTACCTGAAGTTTGGTATAAAGGTGTGTATCATAGTTACATGAATAACATATCTTCTGATGTTGCTTACATTATAGGTTAATATTGGAGATATTGTCTGAAGACGCTTTACGATCGGTAGTGTTCTATTCACACACGTATGCCACACCGCCGATCATAATAATAAATTAATCATAACTTGATCATGTTTTCAAATATCGAGCTGAAATTTAGAATATATATATCAATAAAAGTCTAACTAATAACATATCCTCTGATGTCGCTTACTTAATTAAATTCATCATAACTCAGTCAATTTTTCAAATATCAAATTGAAATTTGGTACAGAGGTGTATTATTGTCATATTAACAACATATCTTCTAATGACGCTTACTTTATTCAGCATTTTTGAAGATTTTGTCTGGCGACACTTGTTGTCGATTGAAGACGCTTTTATGTGAGACCCGTCTGCTCTATTTATGACTTACCTTCACTAGCCCCTTTTATATGTCCGAGTCGTAATACATCCCTATGGGTCCAGCCACAGTAGCTGATCTGGCGTGTAACACTCTTTGCCAAATCCAGTGGTGTTTGTTGATTATACCATTGGCTGACCGCATGTTTTAGGGATCTACCCCATCCTCTAGTATTTTCTGTCAACTTTTTTTGGTAACTTAAAAACTGAAATAATTCCCTTGGGGAGTTGCATATCTTGAGGAACGTTTGATATGCTTGTTGTTTAATGTCTTTATCTGTAGATTTTGCACATAGTGCCACAGTGAACAGCAATGTATCTTTTTTCACCGAAGTTTTCTCTGTGTGACATTTTAAAACCTCTGTCAATACTTCTTTCCCTTTGTGGTCATTGAGCAACTCTGTTAAAAATGGGGTGTTTTCTGTTGTGCAACAATTTCCAATAACTTTATACACTGCACCATCAGTGCATAAATGAAGAAATCTTTTGAATGCATCAAAGCTGCACATTTCTGGCGGCGAAGCCATAGTTACCAATCTCCCTCCTGGAATGAAAGATCAGCAAATTTAGCTTAACATAATGTACTAGTTACTTGATTATAACTGCATATTATTGCACTATAAACCGCATAAATAATCGCAATTAACTAAACAGATACGGTTTACAGATACTTGCAAGTGTTGTCAAATAAGTGCTTTTCAGTGCACTATGTGTCATACTATGAACCGTCGTTAAAAGCAGTTATTTCAATAAGCATGTGTATCCCCCTGCCCCGATACACACTGACAATAATCAGATATCTGCAGATCTGTGCTGTCTACTTCAAAAAGATAATGATTATTTGCAAATGAGAGCAAGTAAAACAACGCTTCACCTGTGTATGATTAAATATGCAGTCGTCGATAATGATATTACTACTTCCAGGTACGTTAGACAGTGGAATGGGAGAAATATTTCTGGAATTTACAACATGCTCATCTCAGTTCATGCTCATCGACGACGGGGCGAACTTCCGATGTGATCTACGTCACTAGTATGGCTATGTCGCTTACTACGCGAACAAAAATTATAATCGAAGCGTGTGTATTACGCTGATCAGTTCCGTATCGTGTCACATGATCCTGAATATCATCCGGCAGGAAGTGAAGATGGCAAGCCAGTCCACGGGTATCCAACAGCTGTTAAAAGCCGAGAAAACGGCAGCAGATAAAGTAGCTGAGGCTAGAAAACGTAAGAAACTCAACACGACAGTCGCTGATTCTATGTGTGTGTTAATTTGGTTTAATTTGAGAAAGTTTCACGTTTGTAAGTTGGAGGTCGTCTCATGACATACCTCTGTTGACAACCTGTGAATCCTCTTATCTATGGGTACGCTGCAGTTCCGAATACAGGTATTTGTGCAATGGAAGGGAAGAGCGCTCATGCTCATTGGTAATCTTAAGGTTTAAGGTCTCAAGTGATCTGGCTAGTACTTGATACAAAATTCGTATTTGTCAGTAAAAAGAGAAAAGGGTAATAATTTGGTTACTTCTCTGGAACTTTTGTTGAGTTCAAGATGAATATACAGTACAGAGAAATGTTACCAGGATGGCCGGAAGGTCTGACCCCGACCCTGGATAATTAGTCTCTTGGTCATAACTTTTAAATGATCAAAATTCCCACCCAATTCAGTGTTTTTTATGATGAATCTGGGGACTCGTAAAGATATTAATTAATAAAAATATTAATTTCTGCTGTATATTCTCAAAAATTAATTTATTTCCCAAAAATCATTTTTTTGTGTGTAATATTCCGAAAGTCCAAAGGCACAGGTACCTGTCAAAAAAGAGTTGGAAAAATCACGACATATAAGTTGTAAGCATATGTAAGGTTGCTGGGCATGCCAAAAGATGAACGCAATCATGGTATCAGAATTGACCGAGATCTGGCCACACCCCTAGAGACTTAGTCCATAGGTGAGAACTTGGAAACATTTGAGGTTTCCATCTTATAATATAACATGTATATAGGGTGCATGAAAAAATCATACACGGTAAGTAATACAGAATATGCTACTAGGATTGGCCTCAGGGTTTGCCCCTGCCCAAAGGGACTTAAATAAGGGAGTCCCTAAGTTATATCTGTATATAAAATTTGGCGGGCAAAGGCCGGGCGATCAATTAAAATTAACAAAAGAAACAGCTGGAGAGAATATGTATCCAAGATATCATCAAAGATGTCTTCCAAAAAAGTATGGGATATGATTTGGAAAATAAGTGTGAACATAGGTCTGAAATTGCTGATGCATTTGCAAAATACATAGCTAAAATCTCATCCCCTTTAAACCACTCCCAAAAATTTGAGTCTTTAAAGAAAAAAAAAGAGAAAAGAAATGGCTAAATTTTAAATCATCAAACAGAGAAAGTTATTATGAACCATTTACCCTACCAGAACTTGTTGATTCGTATAGAAAATCATAGGACTGCTTCAGGTCCTGATGATATTCCAAATCAATTTCTCAAGCACTTAGCGGACTTGTCACTAACATGCCTTCTATACATATTCAACCAAGTTTACGCTTCAGGAAAGATTCCTGATTCGTGGAAGAACTCCACAATTATACCTATCCCAAAACCGGGAAAGGATGCTACTGACCAGAACCCGTGGTTTTAGAAACAGAAGAGGGACAAATGGCCATCTCATCAGACTCGAGACATTCATTTGAGAGGCTTTCGCCAAGAAGGAACACCTTTTTGCCATGTTCTTTGATCTTGAGAAGGCCTATGATACTACATGGCAGTATGGCATCATGAAAGATCTTCACGACCTTGGCGTATGTGGAAACCTTCCCAATTTTATATCTAATTATCTATTAGATAGACACTTCAAAGTCTGTGTTGGTTCAACTTTTTCTGAAACATCTAAACAGGAAATGGGAGTCCCACAGGGTGGAATCCTATCAGTCACCCTGTTTGGTCTTAAAATCAATGATATGGTCAAATGTCTTGGTCAATCAACAGAAGGGTCGTTATCTGTGGAGGATTTCTTGATCTGTTACAGATGTAAGAACATGCACACAATAGAAAGACAACTTCAAGAGTTTAAACAAACTACAAAATTGGGCAGACGTAAACGGTTTCAAATTCTCTAAATCTAAAACTGTGTGATTGCATTTCTGTCAAAACGGAAAGCACACAATGACCCAAATCTAACACTGGATGGCACTAGAAATCGTGTTGTTGAACAGACTAGATTTCTCAGCTTCATTTTTGATTCGAAACTCTCTTTCATACCACATATAAAGTATCTGAAGGATAAGTGTTCCAAGGCATTAAACATTATACAAGTCCTTTCTCATACTGATTGGGAAGCGGACCGTGAAATGCTTTTGTGCCTATACAGATCACTTATTCGAACAAAACTGGATTATGGTTCTATGGTATAGGGGTCCGCGTGCAGTTCATACCTGCAGATGCTAGACCCAATCCATAACCAAGGGCTACATCTAGCCCTTGAAGCTTTTCGAACAACACCTGTAAAAAGCCTGTACGTGGAAGCAAATGAACCATCCCTTTATGACAGAAGAAAAAAACTTGCATTACAGTTTGCAGATCAATTATAATCAAACCCTAAAAATCCTGCTTTCGACCAAGAATTGAACCCAAAATACCAAAACATATTTAGGCAAAACCAAAAACTTCTGCTAACATTTGGTATCCAAATTTCCTGCAAGAACTTGACATAAAGTTGACTGACATAGCTGAATTTAACATATCTGATGTTCCTCCGTGGACAATTCAAACACCTGATTTTAACTTAACATTACATGAACGAGGGAAATCAAGTGTTATGCCCGAAGAACACAAATCTTCCTTTCGGGAATGCATTTTGATTTACCCGTCTCATACACAACTTTACACCGATGGTTCCAAAGAAGGTAAGAAAGTGGCAGCAGCCTGCTGTACTGCTAATTCTTGCACTTCATTTCGACTACCAGATGGCGCCTCCAAGGCTCCATTTTTTCTGCCGAAGCATGTGCCATTGGTTTGGCCCTCGATCATATCGATGAACACCGTATTAAAAAGGCAATTATTTTACAAAACCTTGCTCTTCGAATATCTTGTATCTTAAAAAAGTCTAAAATAACTTTACTTCTAAATGGTACTGACCAACTTCAACAATTTGAAGATAAAATGTCAGATGAGGAGTGAAACATGGAAAGAGATTGTTTTTAAAAGATACAAAATGGACTAGTTTGTGTTTGAAAAGTGATGGTAGAGGGCGGATTTGAATAATTCCGTTGTGGGGCTCGAAATAATGTCAGGTGGGAGTTTATTCCACTCAGGTATAGTTTGAGGGAAGAATGATGCCTTTCTGGTCTGGGTTTTTGAGTGGGGAATTTGATACGAAAACTGGTGGTTTGTTCCGGATTTTCTAACTGTAGGTATTAATCCGTCTGATTTTACGATAGCGACTTTCTGGTTTACAATGTTATGAAGCATGGTCAGACCAGCATCTCTACGTCTATCTGAGGGCGCAGCTTTAGGTGGTCCAACATTTCTGACACACTGGAGGTACGATGGTTGTACCTGTGCTTATTGAGCACATAGCGCGCTGCCCTTCGCTGGACCATTTCCAACTTGTCAATATTTGTTATACTCAAGTGATGGTCAAACTAATGATTTGTATGCCTGTACTTTGGCTGATGTTGAGCCAATTTTAAGATTTCGTCTTAAAAAGCCTAGCGTAGAATTTGCTTTTGGTCATATACCCCTGTAGTATTTATATTTGAATCCCATTTAAGGTCAGATGATAGTGTTACACCCAGATACTTGGCCTGACTAAGATGTTCCAGTATGTGTCCATGTAAACTATGGATTCTGAGCCATGTCGGAATTAAAGGCAACAAATTTGTTGACAGGGAAACAAAAAATGCATTAATCTCCAACAAACAAATATCAAACTACCATATACAGATTTTAAACCTATTATTCGTACAGCCATTCAAAATGAATGGCAGCAACACTGGTCTTTCGAGACCAGCAACAAACTTTTTAAAGTACATGTACAACCGAAACTTAAAACATCTATTCCCAGTCGTAAAGATCGTAGAGAATATTTTTAACACCCTTTTTATTTTAATTATCTACACATACAATGTGAATGCTTTTAAAATGAACCTTTTAATCTGATTTTATCTTCGCTACTCACATGTTTGTTTAAAAAAAAGAAAAAAAAGAAATCACCATGGCCATTTATATGATCACAGCCGTCGATGGGCCGTTAAACACAAACAAACAAATTATACCAAGGATATTGATTGCAATTATTTGAGAATATTTTGGCATGATTGCATAAATATCGAGATGAGCTATACAAGCCTTCTGCACTTCTTGATAATTATTTTAAAATTAAATGAAAAATTATGATAATACAGAATGCCTTTCTTATATTATTTGTTTGTTTGTTTGTTTGATTTTGTTTAACGTCCTATTAACAGCTAAGGTCATTTAAGGACGGCCTCCCCTGTGTGCAAGATGCATGCGTGTAGTGTATGTGTGTGTATTTTGGGAGGCTGCGATATGTTCGTGTTTGTCTCCTTGGGATAGCGCGGAACTGATGCCGTCTTTATAGTGCTACCTCACTGAAACATACTGCCGAAGACACCCAGCAGGATTATATGATTATAATTACGAAGCTTCTGAGAGACATTAATGTACTAGATTGAAATCAAGATTTTCTGTTTTATGATTTCATTTAACAATAGCTTATTATGATCTGTTGAAGTTATCACAACCTAAGACCCTCGTTGGTCATCAGTCATGTCCAGGGATGACAGGATAGTACTTGCTCAATTCATTTAAAACGAAGGGGGGGGGGGGGGGGGGATCTTACACTGCTGGCAATCCACAGGTTATAATCATCCAGTTTTTTCATGATATGTGAATCTGTGATTTGCTGTCTTTGTGAATTGAAGTGAAATAATTATACATCTTGCAATATATCCATCTCGCAAATTAAATAAGGGATTTCCAATACCATAATATGATCATTCAGGTTAAAAAAAAGGATTGCAATTTCGCATTTTTAATTGAATTTCACTTTTTCTGAACAGGTAAAAACAGGAGACTAAAGCAAGCAAAGGAAGAGGCCCAAGCTGAAATTGATAACTACAAAGCTCAAAGGGAAAAACAATATAAACGTTATGAACAGTCTGTAAGTTGTGTTTGTACGTTATGATTATCTGTTTAAATGGGTTCACATGACCCATTTTGTTTTGCTTTTTGTTTTGTTTTTAAATTTGGTTCAATTGAAGGCATATATATTTCATGAGCCCAAACTAAGTCTTAAATGCTTATTGTTCTAGAATTCATTTTCCGATTTTTCTTTACTGGTGGTATTCATAGGAAAATCAGAAATTCATTCATTCTGGTACATTGGTAAATTGTTAGATTTACACATAAGAAGAATGTTCTGATTTAATTGGAAGAAAATTTACCAAAGTTTCATGTCAGGTTCTTAATAATACTAACATGTATGTCTTCTATTGCTGATAGGTGCTTGGCTCGCGAGGGGACATGGAGACTAAAATAGACATCAATACCAAACAGAAAATTGAGGAGATCAGTGCGGGAGTGAAGAAGAACAAGGAGCAAGCTATAAAGGAGCTGCTTGATTTAGTGTTGGAGATCAAGCCCCTGGTACACAAGAATCTAGTGCCAAAAGTGTAACATTGTACCTTACATGTCATCATACCATCATGAGACTTAGAGCTAGTCAAAGGTGTACAGTGTATATGTGATGGGACTTAAAAACAGATCAACTGGACTTGATATCTAACTGGAATACAAAAATGCAGTGCATTAAAGATAAGACCTTGTGCTGTGTGCCAATAAAAGAAAGGTAGAAAATATTCTGACCAGGTTAACCCTTTCAACCCTATGTAACATTAGTGAACTCTACCATGCATTGATTTGAATGAGTCCATTATGGTCTACAGTGGTTAAAGGGTATTTAGAAGTGAACATGTTTACTGCATTCAGTAGAAAGTGGAATTTTCATTTTGTGTGTTGGGCTAGAAGGTATGATTAAAACTAACAGTAGAGTTGGTTGTATATTTGATATGGAAACTATGTGTTTATACTAGAGCTTAACTTGTGTATTATTGGATGTTTGAGCAAATACATCAACATTAGTTCTTACTGTAGGTACAAGCATGTTGTTAATCGAATAGACAATAAGACATTATATGTATCTAAAGTTATATCCAGGATTTATTTCATATATATCAGGATTAAAAACACAATAAAATATACAAGTTGGTACCTTAATACAATGAAGAGTGATTCTAATATTTGGTGAAAGTATATATATATACGCAATTTTGAATCTTCCTAGATTTTTCAGCAATAGCATTGTACTAGAAATGACCATAGAACAAATGATAATCAGAAAATATTGATTTGAAAGGTTTAAGTAAATTTATAATTCCATTTAATCACTGTAGTAAAAGTAGAATAGAAACAAGTTGTAAGTTCTGATTGAAAACTATGACAGACATACCATTCCTTGCATTTCTCTTGTCGATTTGTGTATTTGATACTGATGCATTCCGAATCCTGATGTTTTGTATTGTAAGGGGAGGTAACTTCAAACTGATTGTAGATGGGTGAAATATTACAGGACTAGGGGTGTTATGGGCATTATCGGTCCTAAAGAGAAGTTATGATATACAGGATAATCACAAAAATCGTGATCCTTATATGGGCATGTTCTACAAAACATAAGATATGTATGAGTGCTATGATCATTGATAAAACATTTATAATTTTCAATACTGTTGAGCTTGAGTTTGATTTCAGTCAGTTTCATTTTTAAGGGATGTAGACTCTACACCATGTTGGATTAACATTGGAATGAATGTTTAAGAGAGGGAATCATAAGTGAGATTGGTATCTATGATGTATTGTTGTAAAATTTGTTTATTTGATATTATTTATTAACCATTAAAGTCAACACCATATATCAGCTATATTTGTCAGACTTTTCATTTAGATGTCATCCTGCATAACAGTCCCAAATAATGTTTTCCAGACAAAAATACTGGCGTGGAAAAAGATCTTTAATTCCATGGTATTAAAAATTAATCTGGATTTCTCAAATAAATTGGAAATTCTAAAAAGATTAATATTAATAGACCAAGAATTACATCTCTGTTTGAAATAAACATTGAAAATGTAATCTCAAACAATATTTTGATTTTATGACCAAAATGGAACATTTATGAGAAAATATTCTTTTACAAAATAGAAAGGCGTTACCATTTTATGTAGATTTCATGTCGGTTGTTCTTTAAAACTGGGAACAAAAATAAGTGGAAGTTTTTGTTATGTTCAAAATGCTGAAGTTACCCAAAAATCTTCAAACCTGATTACAGGAATGCTGTGGATGATAATGGCCTGAACCTATTTACAAGGTCCCAAAGAACAAATATGTTGAAAACTTCAAACAAATTATCTATAGAACCATAAGGACTAAAACCATGAAACAGTGATGTTCAGTAGATCAGTTGTGTAAATATTTTTCCAGATGTCTGCCTTAAGTGATGGCCATGGCTAAATGCCATTTTTAGCCCACAATCATCTGATGGTGGGCTATTCAAATCACCCTGCGTCCGTGGTCCGTCCGTAAACAATTCTTGTTATCGGTATTTCTCAAGAAGTACCAAAGGGATCTTTCTCAAATTTTATATGTAGGTTCCCCTTGGTCCTTAGCTGTGCAGGGCAACTTTTGAGACTGATCGGATAAACAACATGGCCGACAGGCAGCCATCTT